TTAAGTGGTTTGTTTTGATTGGTTGAAATTGTTTTTGGTTGGTGAATTAATTAATTTGTTTGTTGGGTTATTTAATTGGGTGTGTATATATAATAATAATAAAAAAGAGGGGTAGAGTTGAGAGAAAAAGAGTTGAGGGGTGGTTAGGTTAAATAAGGGTGTTAAGAATTTTTTTTTGATGATTTGGGCTCTTTGAGGTTACAGTCCCCCCGCGACTCTCTTTCTCTCTATGGCGATGAATAAGGGGAAATCTCTCATCAGTCGAAATCATCGGAGAAATCTCTGGCCATGGTATGCTTCAAATTTCTCAGTAATGATTTCTTTGCACCGATCGAAGATTTGTGTTGATTTCTTTTGTTCTGTGAATTTAGGGTTCCGATTTGGAATTTTTTTTAATGTGATTGTGGTTTGGGTGTTAACTGATATTCTTCTTGATTTCTCTAATTTTAAGTATGAAATTGGTTGTTTGAGATGGGCAAAATCACAATCTGAATTTGGATGTGATTGACTGGATTCTAGAATAGAAGATTATTATGTGTTCTCAACGCATAGAATTGGAATGAAATTGATTTGACTTTAGAAGAATTACTATGTGTTTTGTTTATTCGAATTGACTGTTTGAACTAGACTAAAGCTATTACCTTTCATTGTGGCTTCAGGTCTTGCAAACAAGAAGGCTGTGACCATCCAGCAAGATGACATGGAACAAGTTGTTGTCCTCGTCACCACCAAGACCAAGAAGCAGAGTAAGCCAAAGGATGTCTCTGTCAACAAATCTATCCTCGAGAAGGAATTCCCAAGCATGTCCAAGGCTGTTGCTAAACAGGTTTGACTCAAATCTTCACTACTCTTGATGTTTGTTTCTATATTATGTTTTGCTCAAAGGTTCTCCAGTCTCCATTGACCTTTGTTTCCTTTCCTCTATTTTTGAATGCAGGTTTCATGTATAAGTTTGATGGTAAAAATGCATGATAAGGCTCTGTTTGAATAATTTCTTAACCATCTATAGATAGTTGTGACATTGTTCCTTTGCTGAAATATTAGATTGAACTTCTTAACCATCTATATAGATAATTGGTACATTGTTCTGCATTGTGTTTCTGTTTGTAATCAAAATTTGGAGCAAGACTTGTTTACTAATATGCTTGTGTTGATACACACACAGGTTGAGTTTAATGAGTTTGGAGGAAGCTCGATGTTAGCCGCAACTATTGCTTGGGACAATGAACTCTCTTGGTCGCTGGAAAATGCCATTGAAGCACTTCAGGAGACTATGCTTCAGGTGTAATCAAGTCTCTTCTTAACCATATGTGTTTTGCAAAATCTGCTTAAATTTGTTGAATGGTCTTTATACTAACGATATAAGTGTTATTGCAAATGTTTTTACAACAATTGAAGTTTATGATTTGCAAATTTATGGCAAAAATTTGGTTTAGCATATGTAAATATTACAACAATTGAAAGTTTATGATTTGCAAATTTATGTTTTAATTTTTTT